GGTCCTGGTTTTGTATTTTGCTGAGGTCATATGAATTAGTTATGAATTTCTGAAGATTAAATCCATTTCTGAAAAATGAAAAAAGGCTGAATTAATCCTGGGCTGACACGTGTCATGCTGGGGTTGGTCCACGTGGCTTGCTGACGTCAGCATGACGGTTCCGAGCTGACAGGTGAGGTCTAGCTAACGTCAGCAACGTCATCCACACCGACAGGTGGGGCGAGAGGCTATTGGGTCACTGACAGGTGGGTCCGGTCAAAGTCAATGGCGAGTCAATGGACAACGGTCAAGGTCACTAACGTGGGGGCCAGGGCTGCTGACGTCAGCAGCGGATGTCATAGTGACGTCAGCATGACGTCACCTTGGCTGCGTTGGCTTCTGACATGTGGGTCCCGCGTGACGTCAGCATGATGTCACCATCTGATGTGTGGGTCCAGAGTGTCTGTGCCCCTGACATGTGGGTCCAGGTCAACGGTCAACGTTGACCAGTTAACGGTCAACACGGACTGGCTCTCAAACGGGCTCCGGCGGGCTTCGGGTTGGGCCAGTCTGGGCGGGGCCGGGCCGGACACATGGCAAGCTATGGCGTTGCCACGTCACGGTCGTGGGCCTCTACTGGGCTTCGTACACAGCTCGCGGGCGTGGGCGTGGCTCACGGTGGACCAGGTGGTGCTGGTCCATGGACCTAAGGCAGGGTCCCTGGTGGACCAAGTCCACCGTCATTTCCCTCGGCTCGGCTCTTGTGCACCGGGTGCAAGGCTGCGCTGCTCAACTCGCCCCTCCTCCTCTGTTTCTTCCACGGCGCGCTCCCGCCGGCGACGTACTCACCGGCGAGCTTCCACAGCGGTGCTAGCGCCCAATTGACATGGGGAAAAGCACCGTCAGGCTTCGGCGACTGCGATGGTAGGGTCGGGGCGACGGCTAGGACACCCTAGGACCCTGGCCATGGTGGTTGGTGGTTCGGCGGTGCCCGCCGACGGTGAAGTCGCCCGTGCAGGCTTCCTGGTGTCTCGGCTGGGCGGGTAAAGGCTTCAGCGGTTCCGTGGGAGCATGGCGAGGGCGTCTAGTGCTCAAGGCGGGGCTCGGATTCTCATGAGGCTGGTAGGGGTTTCCCGACGGCCACGACGGTAGTCCTCCGGACACGACGGCGACGTCGATGAGGTGGCCACGGCCTCGGAGAGGCGTATCGGTGGTGCGTGAGAGCTTCACGAGGCTCCAGTGATCAGGACGGGCGAGTCAAGGAGACGCCAGGCACCCCCAGCGGACTTGGCCACGGTGGAGGTGCATGGCGGAACTCCGGCTGGTGGTTCAGTGCTCGTGGCCGAGGCACTGCGGTCGGCTATCGATGCCTCGGTCTATGCAGCTGTCCTCTAGACATCACTACGATCCTCTTTGGCTGTGTTCTAGTCTGGTGAGGCGGCCATGTGTGCCCGCGGTGGCCGCGCCATGGCGGCGGCGTCGTGAGCGTGGTGTGCGCACGCTTCGATTCGGTGTCCGTGGGGCTGGGAGATGGTCGCGGGTGTGCGCGCGAGTGTGCCGTGCGTGTGTACCCAGTGGCCGGAGATGGCCTTGGCCTACGCGCTCACGATGTGGAGCGCCATGGCCAACACGGTAAGGTTCGGCGGCGAGCAGGGAGAGGCCGGAAGGCTCACCGTAGGTGTTGAGGGCGAGAGGATAGCGGTGCAGTGAAGAGTCGAGGCCGTGTAGCTCCGGAAGTCGTGCCGTGCAGTGTCGTCCGCTCCGGCTCCGGTGATCTTCCGGTCTTCCTCCCGGCAGCGACTCCGGTGTTTCCTTTCCCCCCCTTCTTCCTCTCCTCCCTCTTCTCTCTTGGCTCGGGTGTGCTGTGGACGGCCACAAGGTGGCGGCGGGGCATAGGAGAGCGCTAGGGCAACCGAGGGCCGTGGCTTTATAGCCGAGCTCCGAGCTCCAATGGCGGACGGCGATCGAGCGGTGGAGGCGTGATCAGCGGCATCCAATGGCTTTCGCGTGCGGTGGAGTAGCGCTTGGCGCAAGGGGTTGCGTGGGTGCGGCGCCAAGAAGAGACAGGACCATGCCCGGCGTGACCTGCCCGCGCCGCCATCATTGTCGGGCTTGGTCGCATGCAAGGCGGTTGAGTGGGCGTGGAGAAGATTTAGCCAGAGACGGGTGCGCCCGACATCATGCGGGTCCAATGGGCGGTGGTGGCGAATGGCAAAGCAAAGGCATGTGGTGAGCAACGTATGGCCGACGTGTGAAGGGCCAAGTGGCGGCGACTATCTTGGCAAGGGGCTAATGGTATGTGGCGTGAGCGGTATCTTGGGCATTAGGGCTAGGCAGCGTCTGTGTGGCGTGGGCAATGGAGAGAGGAGGGTGAAGGTCGGGCCGATCATCGGTGGTGTGGCGAAAGCAAGCGGTGGTTGGGAGGCCCACTTCTTCTTTTCCTTTTCTGTTTTTCATTTCTTTTCCATTGTTTGAATTCAAATTTGGTTTGAAATTTGAATTCCAAATTGGTGCAGCTTACTCATTGGAGTTTTAGATATGGGGCCCACAACATTCTTATTTAATTATTAGGGATTTATTTAGCTATTTTGTATAACAAAAATAGATGTAGTTTTGGTTATACAAAAATAGAAATTGTTTTTCCTTTAAGCCTTTATGCTTTTGATTTGATTAATAATTATTTTATGGTTTATTATTTTAATGGAGTAGTTGAGCATAACATAAAGCAAATGAAAATCCAAATCATAATTTGAGTTAACAATGTATGCAACATTTTGTTTGTCAGAAATTAAATAACATAATCAACAATTGACATGCCATGCTTATGTGTTGACTTGGGTTGGGTTACTTCTAATGCAACACTTGGGGTTGACTCTACAATGTCACTCATCATCACATGGGGTTTTTAAAGAAAAATTTTGTAGTTGTGATTTCTGGTGTATGGATTTTTGGTTGTTACAATTGATTTTGGTGACATGGTGGGTTTTCACTTGAATCGGTGTTCGGGGCGATTTCAAGTTTTGAGTTCGAGTTCGGGTTCAAATCTGCGGAGACTTCACCCGACTTGCATCCGCCCCATTGCCACCCGGTCACCCCTATCTACGCCACCACCCCCTTGTCAGCACTAGTGCCTAGGTTAATGGGTAGTGCGAGCGTCAAATCCAGATAGGTTGGTAATGGAGTCATCCATTGTGGCGGCTAACTAGTCTGTTGATTGGGCAAGAGGACTATAAGAGGAAGTAGAGGAGAGTATCAATCAAGACTTCACCATGGTTGCCAACAGGATTAGCTGGTATAGGTGTCAAAGGGCCATAGGATGGCGGGAGCATCGAGCCAGCAACTAACTTACAGCTATAGATGGTCAAACGGGGGTGGCATGGCATGGTATGAGCCCATTTAAGCACGACCCGTTTACGCATGGGCCCAATAGTCACAATTACCCTGTCCATGGGCTTCACCTGAGGCCCAAGCAGAAGGTGTAATTTTTGTTTTACGCGTCGTGGTTGCTCTGACCATGACCCATGGACATGAACAGGTGGACACAGGAGCGAAAAATCAGGCGAAATGCCGAAGCCGACCACCGGACACAGAGGACCCCACATGTCAGTAAGCTCCACTGCTCTGCCCTGGCCTGCCGCCCCCAGCTAGCGACAGCGTGCTGGAGCTATGCTATGCTACGGCTACTCACCTTTTTCTTCCCCATCTCCGATTTCAAAATTCAAAAACCCCCTTTCTCCATTGCTGTCTCTCTCTTCTCCACGGGAGCAAAGGCCGAGACCGAGACCTCGAGGCGGTCGCGTGGCGTCTCGGAACCCGGGAGGAATCCACTGAAAAATCCGCGCGTGGGGGACGGATTCTCTCCTCGTCTTGGGGCGAGCCGGCGAGGCAAGCATCCGAAGCACCATCCCTTGTTTGTTTCCTCCATCCTCCTCCACGGTTCCACATTCCGCTGGGCGCTGGGCGATTTCCTTCTTTATTTATTGGCTAGAGCGCCACTACCACTACTGTTGGTGCCAGGCGCTCGCTGCCTCAGTATCCTAAACGCCGGCGGCCACCGAGGTCGTGGCTGCGTTCTTTGGAGTAGCTAGGTGGGCTGAGCTGATTCGGGGCTCTTTGTGGGCATAGCCAGGTTCGTTCTGGTGGAGTGGAATGCCGCAGATTTGAGCTGCTTAGGGTTGGGGTTAGGGGATTTCAGTATCATTTTTTTTATAGCTGTAACTTTGGTCCCTCTCCCGTAGCCTTCCTTTACTGCCGAGGACGACTGGGGCCCTTCACCGGCGACGCCCCCTTCACTGGGCCCTTCACCGGCGACGACTACCATCCTGGTATGCCGTCCCTTCTCTTCCCTTCCATCTGTGCGGAACGGGGCACCCCCAAACCTCAATGCAAACTATTTTTACCCGGATCTGACTCAATCGCAGTATCCATGTCCTATTCTTGCTCAACAATTTTATTTATTTATTCTGCTGCCAGAAAGATTTTGGAATCCAGCGATTCACAGTGAGATGGTTACTCAAAAGTGCTAAACTTTTTTTTGAAGAAACTGGAGGGGTTAAGCCCCTATCAAAAGTGCTAAACTTGACTGTTCAGGCCTTCGTAATCTCCTTTTGCTTCACATAAGTGCCATGTGCAGGGATAGGCGTAGTCAATTTAATTGCTAAGGAATGCAATGCAACTCTCAGCAGGCTAGAAAAACAGAGCTTCATGGGAGAAAGGAATGCTTTTTGGGGTTAAAACTCAAATGGTCTGTCCCGGTATTAACTGTTCCATGCATAGAGTTGCTGCTAAGAGCTCCTTTGGCCGAATACTAAGTTTGATGGATGCTGTACTATGTTGCGTGGGGCTATATATGGACAGTTTGAAAATGGACATTTTTTATTTTTATTTTTCACAAATCAGTTGACCATATTATTTATTTCAATTTTTCTTGTGGTGACATTGGCTGCTACATATCAGTAACAACTTTCCTCATTTATGTGCAGTGTTGAATGGTGCTTGGAGTTTGGTGATCCTGGGAAAAGATGAAAGATGAAATCATGTTTGACAACCAAACAAAGCCATGCAGATCGAGGGTTGACTCCAAAAGCAATTCAAGTTCTCTGAAACCTAAGTTTGGATCCTCATGGGGTTCCCAAATTGTCAAAGGGTTTACAGCAGACAAGAAAACCAAGAAGACAGCAGCAGTTGCAAGTAAAAAACCACCTCTTGCAAGTGTTGAAAATGTCAATCAGACCATCCAACAGATTCCGTACCACTCTAGGGTTAAAAGATCCCTCATTGGGGACTTCCCTTGTTCACCTGCTGGTGCTCAAGTCCACCCCCATGTCTTCGATTGCCACAGTATTAGGTCCCCAGCATCCCATGATCTTTTTCTTGAGTTGGATCATCTCAGGGAGCAACTGCGTGAGTCGAAAGAAAGGGAATTAGCATTACAGTCAGAGTTGCGGCAATGCAGAGAAAACCCAAAAGTTTCAGAACTTGAGAAGGAGCTTTATTCTATGAGGGATGAAGTTGACAGGCTTGCACGACTGAAGACTTCATTAGAAGCTGAGAAAACAAGCATATCTGAACAATTGTCAGCTCTATCTTCTATGGTAGAGCACCATGAAGAAAATGTAAGATTAGATAGCCATGGCAACCTGATATCTAGTGTTAATGGGGACAACACACCTTCAGAAAATTTGGAGTTTGAAGTTGTTGAACTACGCCGGTTAAACAAAGAGCTACAGTTTCAGAAACGAAATCTTGCAATTAAGCTCTCTTCAGCTGAATCCAAATTGGCTGGCCTTGAGAAGAATGCAGAGGTACCATTGCTTGAACTTTATCCTTTCTGTTTGTACTTTGTATGGAAAATATTTCAACTAATTTTGCTTTCGTGTGCTTTAAATACTGTCACCAGAGTGATATAGTTGCCAAGGTTCAAGCTGAGGCATCGTTGCTGAGGCACACAAATGCAAACCTCAGCAAGCAAGTTGAGGGATTGCAAATGAGTCGGCTAACAGAGGTTGAGGAGCTTGCTTATCTTCGGTGGATCAATTCATGTTTACGCCATGAGCTCTGTAATTCAGATCAAGCAGCTAGAGCAATGACGGATATAGATTGCAATGGTGTCATGGCTTTTAATGAAGATGATGGTGGTGAAGGTGATGCAAAAAATGCTGAGGACAGTTCTGATATAAAATTCAGCATTGCAGAACGCATCAAGCAGTGGTCCCAGAATGATAAGAGTTGTCAAGCATCTAAAAAGGAAGCCCTTCTTGATAGGGCATGGATTGAAGCTGCAGAAGCACGAAGCCCGACACGTAGGCACTCACTTGGTGGACCAAAGGGATGTGCACAAGACTTCAACATCATTAAAAGAAGGCAATCTGATACCTTTATCAGCCTTCCGGATGCAACAGATGAGTCATTTGCCTGTAATAAGGATCCTACAATCAGGGAGAAGCGTGACCTTCTTGTGGACAAGTATGATTTTGGTCGATCTGAAAGTTCAAGATTTGTTCTCAGCAAGCCAGAAGTATGCAAGTCACAGTGTCTGGATGTTGAAAAGCGTGCATTGCGCATCCCTAAACCTCCACCAAGACCTTCTGTTTCTGTGTCAAATTCTGGTCCATCAAATGGATCGACTGTAAATCCACCGCGACCACCACCGCCGCCACCTCCTCCAAAGTTTTCCTCAAAAAGTACTGGGGTCATGAAGAGGGCACCTCAGGTCGCAGAGCTCTACCATTCACTTATGAGAAGGGACTCTAAAAAGGATACTTCCAGTGGTGGAATCTGTGAAACAGCTAACTCTTGAATGTGCGGAGTAGCATGATTGGTGAAATTGAGAACCGCTCATCCCATTTGCAAGCTGTAAGCAGTGAACTCAGTCTAGCTTATTGGAAATCTGGTGATCATACAAAAAGCTCTAATAGGTTCTGGCACTAACTGTGTGCTTTAACTTTTTATTTAATTTGCAGATCAAGGCAGATATTGAGACTCAAGGTGAATTTGTGAAATCATTGATTAAGGAGGTGACTGGTGCAGCCTACAAAGATATCGAAGATGTGGTTGCATTTGTGAAGTGGCTAGATGATGAACTTGGCTTCCTAGTATGCTTATTACAATCCCACTGATTTCTGAGTAATCATTTTCAACTGGAGCTGCCACTTAAATTATTCTTTTAACTTAATCGCCCTACGCTCAGGTGGATGAGAGAGCAGTGTTGAAGCATTTTGATTGGCCTGAGAGGAAGGCAGACACTCTACGAGAGGCAGCTTTTGGCTACCAGGACCTGAAGAAGCTGGAATCGGAAGTTTCAAACTATAAAGATGATCCACGCCTGCCCTGTGAAATCGCGCTGAAGAAAATGGTTACACTATCTGAAAAGTATGATCGAGTTTACTGAAATATAATGAACATGCATCCACCTAATAATTATTACCCATAAAGTTGCACAAAGTACTGAAAATTTTGTTGGCATTCTTAATTCAGGACTGAGAGAGGTGTCTACAACCTTCTGAGGACAAGAGAGGCTATGATGAGGCAGTGCAAGGAGTTTAATATTCCTACTGACTGGATGCTTGATAACAATCTTATTAGCAAGGTAAATATTATGTGTCGGACTGCCTCTTTTCTGGTTTAAATAAATTATTAGTGTGCACTTCCATTAGGCATGGAAACTGAAGATGGCCTTGCAGAATTATACTAATTTACTGGAGTAAGCAAAGCTTGTTGTCTAGTACTACTATAATTATTGATTAGTTTCCCGCTGCTGTCATATATATCTTTCAGTAGTTAGAGTGCTTAGTATGATGACCACTAAAAGTCCTATTCCTTGAGAATACTGAATACATTATTTTTGTACATTGTTGCTTAAGGAATGTTAGCAGCCTCTCTGGGAATCTGTCTTTGTTTCCTTGTCAGCAGTTGCAGATTCTGTTGCTATCATGAAAACCTATATAGCAGCATCGTCTTGTAAAAGACCTGCTTTATATTGTTGGATTGCTCCCTTATGTTTTTTTTTCCTTCTTGACTGCAGATAAAGTTTGCTTCTGTGAAATTAGCGAAGATGTACATGAAAAGGGTTGCAATGGAGCTTCAATACATGGGCCCTCTGAACAAGGATCCAGCTCTGGAGTACATGCTGCTTCAGGCTGTGAGATTTGCCTTCAGGATGCATCAGGTAACACGTTATAGCAGTAACTTACCTTACTGACCAGATTAGCAATTAGTCTCTGCCAACAATATCACACACAAGCATTTCACATGTCCTTATTTGTAGTTCCATATGTGATTAAACGTATTTTTTTTCATCTGACGCTTATCACATGAACCTATTGTCTTATTAAGTTTGCATGCTCTCCAGTATTTAAATCTGCAAGTGTTAAAATTTAAAAACCAGCTCATTTTTGCAGTTTGCTGGAGGTTTTGACCCGGAGACCATGGATGCGTTTGAAGAGCTGAGGAACCTTGTTCACGTCAGGAATAGCACCCAATAGCTAGGATGTGGCACCGCAATGTAGTACTGAAGAAGAGGATTAGTTTCAGGCTTACCATCTCAGTAAGCATAACAGACACGGTTTTTGGTTGTGTGATGTTTGCATGTGTGGTGTGTTTGTGATGTAAGATATGTATGCTCTCTAACGTGTGTGGTGGGCTAAGTAAGTGACCCGCCGGCGCTGGCTTGTGTAGGGTTTTTTAGTAACCTTGCTGTTGCTGGAAAATAGAAAATGCACTAGGACAGTGGGACATGCTTTGTTTTGTGCCTGGTGAGCACTGAGTAGCGGTGGTTCTTTTGAATTGAGTCCATGCACAATCACAAGTACTGTTAAAAGTCAAACATAAACGCGATTGCAATCATCTGGGCACCGTTGGCACCACTGTGCCGTCAATGGTGGAACTAGCAATCTTGATTAAGGAGGCCCGGACAAATATGATGATATCTCTAAGTGTGATAAATAAATATATACATAAGTGTGTGTCTCAATAACTTTTTCAATGCTTTTATATATGTAGTTAGTATTTATAACGAAAAATCACAATACTATAATAAAAAAGGGTGAATTGATGTCTTAATATGCTGTAAATTGTAACATTTATAGGGGTATTAGAAAAATTCGACTGTATTGCGTGTGTGTGTGTTTGGTGGGGTGTGTGTGTGTGGGTGGGGGGGGTGGGGGGGGGGGGTACCAAAGTGCAACCGGTGCTAGCATTCGAACATGTTTCTTTCTGGTAAAAAAAAGCAAGATATGTTGTATTGTTTGATACTCTCCGTTCTAAATATAAAGGGGTTTTTTAGTTTTGTATGCATTAATTACGCCATAGGGTATACTTTTCTTTCACAAGGCCGCAGGTTGATCTCATGCATTACTCAACCAAGTCGGATAAACAATTATGATCTTATCATCGAAAAGGCGCGCAACAAAACTTTTACCATTTTATAAAAAATTATCAATTTACTCAACCAAATAAGCACACTATTAAGACATATTGCGTAGTTGATTCAATGAAAAATATTAACATGATGTTTGTACACGTTGTTGTTTTTCTTCTATAAATGCTGTTAAAATTCTGTGATACCAAATAAGCGCACTATTAAGATATATTGTTAGTTGATTCAGTGAAAAATATTACCATGATGTTGTACACGATGGTGCTTTTCTTCTATAGATGTTAAAATTAGATAAGTTTGATTTAGATAGAACAAACTAAAACATCAAATATATATTAGGAACAGGGGAGTACAATAAGTATACATACATGGTAGACATGACTTACATGTTGTCCATATACCGTCTATTCTTCATGGCGTAGCTTTGACCATTATTTTCTATTAAAGTATATTTTGGCTCATTAGAAAACTAGCTAGCTAAAAAATAATGCCGCTACAATAATTTGAGTACTCAAGAGAATATATGGACAAATCCAGAGAGAAAAATGTCTCTTTTATCTCCTTCAACCATTGCCATAGTCTGATTTTTCCTTCTCGAGCCACTACTACTCTACTACAACACAGGGCAGTCTCATCATTTAAATTACCTTCATCCCTTGGTCAGAAGTGGTTTTCAAGGCAGTTTCATCATTTTTTTAGCAAAACATTATGATAAATACGCGAATCTAGGATTTTAGCTTAGGGTATGCCGCTCAAAAATTTTCATATACAATTCGGTAAATCCATTTTAGCAATTTGGTAATAATTGTAAATTTTACAATATGATTCGATAAATTCAAGGATTAGATTCAGACTATCCACTAAATACAATATAAATAGTTCAAATATAGGCATAAAAGAGTACCAGAGACTTACAATGCTATTTTTCTCACCGATTTATTCGACGCTTACAAAGGGATATGAATGTCTTGACTATATCATTTTCATCAACTTAAAAAAAAATCTCACTCAACGAAAGTGACTAGACAATCATTCAAAAGGCTAAACAATAATTTTCTATAAAAACCTGAAGAGCAAAGATTAAATTACCGTAAATATTGCAAACAAGACGTGCGAGAAATAGACGGCGATCCTCCAATTCAATGTAGGGCGGATGGCGGCAGCCGACAGGCACCAGGGGCCATGGCGGCAGGGCGGCACCGACTCGACTCACCCGGTCAGGCCGTCAGGCGCAGGCGGTGTGTTCCTCCGTGGCTCCGTACTCAAATTAGGAAACTGAAACGTCGTGTACAGAGTCGGAGACTCAGAGCGTGCATACCGTATGGGTTCACTTGCCGAGTGGACCGCGTTACATGGGCCTCCCGTCATCAAGTGATGGTGTCCAGGTATGCTTTTTCATTTTTCTTTTTTATAAATACAGCGTATACACTATATTATATATATATATATATTACTTGCCGTCGGTTTTGCAGGGTATGCCGGCTCCGCCACTGTAAATACCTGCTCGGAGTCACGGAGCCTCCAGCCCTCCATCGTTGTCACCTATGGCCAAACAGCAGCCAGGACCACCAATCAGAGTCTCTGTCACCTTTGTAGTTTGTTTTATAGCAGTGTTTACTTGTATACTAGAGTAGCTTTGCTAGTTGTTACGATTGGCTATATAGGTTGTTAAACTCTTGGGAGGAAGGAAGTAGATTTACTAGATGAACTCTAGGTGGATATTTTGTTACTTGTTACTCCATCCATCCTGAAAAATATATAAGATGTTGAAGGTGAAAATTTGCACAAATTATAAGGTATTATGGATCAATCGCATCCATACGTGTCTTCCTTTTAAACCACATCCATACATGTCTTTTAAACACCATTTTATACTTGATAGCAAAAATCAATAACATACATCTGTACTTTTTTAAACTATTATAAGCAAGTTAACAGCTAAAGTAATAATTAATTATAGTGAAAGACAAGTTAATCAGACCCCTTATCTCTTTACTACGAATCCTGCACCAAAAGAAGGCCAGGCAGCGGGGCCACGTCGTCCGCTTTTTCCAGCCATCGGATCGGCTGGGTGGACGCCCAGATGGTCCTAGAATCTTGAGTCTACATCTCACCAATTCAGCTTCCCCTAAAACTCTCCCCGCACCTGCATCAGCATTCGGTTTTTCTCCTTCCCTCCTTAGGCTTTGAGCTGATTATTAGCTTTTTCAAATTTATCTTGAATGCCTTTGAGTATGTTAGAACTTTGAAGCTTCTCTCTTGCAACAAGGTTGTTAAACTAGACTGATCTAATGTGAGACTTTTTGAAGAAACTTTCAGCTCTGGGCGCCCATAGATCACATCGACATGTAGTCGGTGTAGTACGTGCACGTGTACCTCGCAGAGCCAACTCTTTGCACTGGCCATTCAACCTTTTCTAGCGTTCGCACTGCACACCACCACTCCTGTCATCACTATTCGCCTAAACGGCCGATTAAACGGCCGTTGAACGGTAAACGGTGGCAAATTATTTTGTTTAGGGGGTAAACGAAAATTAAACGATAAAAAAACAGAGAAAAACGGTCTAAACGGCCTAAACGGGATTAAACGAGCTAAACAGCTGTTTAAACAGTTATTTAGACGAACACGAGGTAAATCTAGTTGAGTTTTATATGTGTAAATTTGTATACTTAAGTTTATTATATTAATAAATATGTCCACTTGATTTGTTACATGCATAAATATGTATATTTGATTCTTTTCTCATTCATAAATATAGGTACACACTAAAATAATTGATTTCTACTTGCATAAATATGTATAAATCCTAGAATAATTGATTTTATATAAAAAAATATGCATATTTTGGTAATATTGTGTAAAACTGTTTAGACCGTTTTAATCCGTTTAAACACTGTCTAAACCGTTTAAACGCTAAACAGAGGGTGACCTTCTGTTTACCGTTTAGCGTTTAGGATAACATTGCATGTCATCTTCTCCCCCGAGTCTACAGCAGCTGATATGGGTTGTTTTCAACAATACACAAATTATTACATATTTGGTAGTTGATATTTCATATTTGGTACTTATCTTAGTTCCTGTTTTGTTTTTATTCTCCAATGAGCTCCAACAGCACATTCAAATCTAAACAAAATTTTTAGGGTTAAATCATTGTGCTTACCAATATGTTCTGTATTATAAGCTCAACAGATTCAAATATGAGTACTAACTGAAAACTAATAGAAAATGATCAGCAAGATGAAATTAAATTTGAATATAAAGAGACTGATCATATTGTTTGATATGCCACCATATATCTAAGATTAGATGTGCATAAGCCTAACAGCTGTTATACCCCGTGTAGAAATAAAACGATTTTGGTGAATGCGGATCAACCTAAAAATGAGAGTCCAATTTTTACAATCTCGCCATTTTATTCGGTGTCATCTGCTTGTGTGGATATCTAATTGTAAGCACTTTGAGCATTACTGTACAGATACAGAGCCATATTGAACGCCTTCATGAAGACTTAGGCCAGTTTACTGAAGATTTTAATCATGGTATTAGCAATCAAAATAGATTTTAAGCATTATCTTGCATGCCATCCCTAGATCTTCATTGAACCGATTATGGATTTTTCTCTCTCAATTGCAGAAAGAAAGATACCTCCAAATCAACCTCTACTCATGGATGTAAAAAAAAGGAGGCTTGGGCACTTGGCTTTAGTACGCCTCAAGCATCAAAGAAATTTAGAGGAAATGGAACAAGCATGGTCACTCTGCAGGAGCAAGATTTGGATGAACCACTTGTTTAGGGTTAGCTATCACGTGCTTGAATGCTATTCAATGGTGCTAAAACAGAATATTGTTTTGAAAATATTTCACTTCCTTATGAACCTAAGGCTGTGCTTAGTTTGCGAAATGAAAATTTTTGGATGTCACATCGGATGTTTCGGGGATATCGGAAGAGGTTTTCGGATACTAATAAAAAAAACTAATTACATAGCTCGCCTGGAAACTGCGAGACGAATTTATTAAGCCTAATTAATCCATCATTAGTGCAAATTAGTTACTGTAGCACTTATGGCTAATCATGGACTAATTAGTCTTAAAACATTCGTCTCGCGAT